TCATTCCTTTCTATCCAAAACCACCCAAATGCTCCCTTCTCAGGAAGTCCATCTTATCAGTTCTCCTTCACTCTGAGCAAACAGGCTTGGTGAGCGGGTAGAGAGATTGGACTTCCTTGTAATATCAGGGGCTCTTGGATGGTGAAGAAATACTCAGCCATGTATTCATCATGGTTTAGCTGTCAAGTCTTCTTGCTGGCCTGTTTGGATCTGTTGTCTGAAAATAAAGTTCACCTGTTTAGGGCATTTCTCTTAGGTAGTTCAGCTTACAATCATAAAGTCAGTTCTGATGCATGAAAAGGTAGTTGTTGAATGAAAAAGTTGCATAGAACCCCATAGCTTCATTTTTCCCTCAGAGCAAATTTGGATGGAATAGTTGGATCAAGTTGGTTTTTGGATAACGTCACAACTAAAGTAAGAAGAAATCTAAAATGTCGTTTTGATCAAACCGTTGATCTATTTTGGATGTGGCCGTTTTTGCTCTTGAATTTATTAAAAAAAAAAAAAAGTGAACACCCTTAACAATAACGCCTCTCTGGAAAGAGAGCCTCAATCCTAGAGACCACATCTGAGTTCAGTGTCTTTCACAAATAAACAAAGTACTACAATGATTTCTTGGTGAGTCATAATTCATAATAATTAATGATTACAGCAGCTAACACTTGTTCAACTCCTGTGTGTCTGGCATTAAGCACTTTATTCAAATTATTTACTTCTTTCCGTATGTAAGTCTGTGGGGGTAGGTACTATTTTTATGCCCCTTTTTAAATTTTTTGGGTATTTTATTGTTTTTTATTTAATTAAATTTATTGGGGGATAACATTGGTTAATAACATTATTTAAGTTTCAGTTCTGTAGTTATCTGTATATTGCACTGTGTGCTCACCACTCCAAGTCTAGTTATCTTCTGCCACTATATATTTGACCTCTTCCTCTCTGGTAACTGCCATACTGTTGTCTGTGTCTGTAAGTTTGTTTTGTATGTTCATTTGTTTTTCTCTGTTTTATATCCTACATATGAGTGAAATCATAGGGTTCTTGTCTTTTTCCGTCCGACTTACTGCACTTAGCATGATACTTTAAAGATCCATCCATGTCGTCACAAATGGTTTTGCCCCTTTAAAGGAAGAGGATTTAATAATCTATAAAGGATCTTGGGCTCCAAAGTTGGTCTTGGTTATGATGCATTAAACTCATTTTCCCTGTTAGTTGAAGAGTATAAATGCAGTGTGAACCAGCAGGGGCCATAGAACCCCAGGGGCCTTGGTCCTGTGCTGACCAAAAGCTTTCCATGGTGTTTCATTGATTTCTCTGACAGTTCCTTTAAAACCTCTTTTTTCCACCTGTCACTACCCAACATTTTTCAGTGCCATAGTCCTTACCTCATTAGCCCAGTTATCATAGTTCATCCTGTCTGGCTCCATCCTTCTAGATGTCTGCTTCCTCTCCTGCAGTGGATGCCTACTTACCCTGTGGTCAGTGGGGTTCTCCCCTAACCCAGCTGTAACGGGGATGTAGTTTTATGGCTTCTTCTTTGCTGTCATCAGGTACTAGGCATTGAAACTTTTCAACATCATGGACATGTCGGTTAAGAACAGACTCTGCATTCTGATCTAGGTCCCAGTCCTGGCTCTGGTACTCAGCTGAGGAATCTTGGGTAAGTTACTTATTTTCTCTGAACTTCAGGGTTATAAGAGATTAAATAAAGTAGTTAATGTGAAAGATTTAGCATAGTATCTGGCACAGAGAAGGACTAAATAAATGGTAACTGGAAGCCTCTGTTCTTATTTTGGTGGGGATTGGGAAAGAGGGATCACTTGATCTATCCCCCTCTCCACATTCGATGCCTTAGAGCCCCTAGAAATTCTTGTTTCTATAGAGGTACTCCATGGACTCCTGAGATCAGAGTTACTAGTTTCCTTTAGAAAAGTGTAAACACCTGGGCTCTACCCCAGAACTACTGAATCATAATACCTTGGGCCTAGAAATCTATATTATGAAACAAACATTCAGAATGGTTTTTATTCATACTAAAGTTTGAGAACCACAATATAAATGAACCTTTGACTTTAAAGCACCTTGCATTTCTGAAGCTTCCGGATTACGCTGTGCCTTGCCAGGGTACATACACCATTTTCTGGTTGGCTTTCTGGGCCAGTTGTGGACCTTCCTTTTCTTTGCAGGGTAAGTGTTATTTCAGGATCTTGGGAGACCTTGGGCATTAGATGAGGGAGAGTGACTGGCCTCAGGGACAAGCCTTTCCTTTCTGCAGGGATTGGGGGAACTCCTCTGGCCCCAGGGTTTAGGTCTGGAGGGTTTAGGTCTGGAGAGTTTAGGTCTGGAGGGTTTAGGTCTGGAGGGTTTAGGTTTTTCGAAGATGATTGCTCCTCTTCAATGGCTCCCATTCCTTCTTCCTGCCCAGAGGTCAGTCCCAGAGGCCTAGGACCCATGATGAACACAGTTGCTTAGGCTCAGAGCATACGTATTTTTCCTCTTCTGGGTCTTACTCTGAGATATCCAGTTACAGATGTCCTTTCAAGGACCAGATGGTCATTAGGAGTCTCTGTAGGTTGAGGGACATTTCCTGGAGCCTGGCATCTGACAATGTCACATATTGGATATGGCTGGATATCAGGGATTCAGGGCTCACCTGTGTCTTAACTGTGGCTTAACTGCCTCTTTCTGTCCCAGTAACAGATTGCAAGGATCTTGTCAGCTTACAATCTCTTATTATTATTATTTTTTTATGCCTACAGCATCTGCTCTTCCTAGGTAGTCTCCCATCCAAGTACTAACTAGGCCCGACTCTGCTTAGCTTCCGAAATCAGACGAGATTGGGCTTGTTCAGGGTAGCGTGACTGTGGACCAGAATTCTTAAGATTCTTCCATAGATTAGATTTAAAAAAATACAATGAAAGCCATGAAGCCTATTCCCCAGAATAATGTGCATGTGCACATTATATATGCATTAACAAGGAGTTTATGAAGCCCCTGAAATGCTTCCATAGACTCCCTAGGGGTCATGGACCTCAGCTTAAGAACCTCTGCTCTGGAGAAAAGTGTCATCACCATGCGTCTCCCTCATTTAGTTATTTGTATTTTTTATTTTATTCATTCATTCATTCATTCATTCATTAATTACCCCTACAGCACCTGCTCTTCCTAGGTAGTCTCCCATCCAAGTACTAACTAGGCCCGACTCTGCTTAGCTTCCGAAATCAGACGAGATTGGGCTTGTTCAGGGTAGCGTGACTGTGGACCAGAATTCTTAAGATTCTTCCATAGATTAGATTTAAAAAAATACAATGAAAGCCATGAAGCCTATTCCCCAGAATAATGTGCATGTGCACATTATATATGCATTAACAAGGAGTTTATGAAGCCCCTGAAATGCTTCCATAGACTCCCTAGGGGTCATGGACCTCAGCTTAAGAACCTCTGCTCTGGAGAAAAGTGTCATCACCATGTGTCTGGGATTTCAGGCAGTGCTTGGGATTACTAGGGGACAGACCTCATCTCTAGGATGTTTCTGGGATGCTCTCCTTTGATCTCAGTGCCCTTCCCTCGGCCCCTTGGTATGTGTACATTATGGGGGCCTCTGGCTGGAGATGGAATTCAGGTGCAGGAGCTGCTGGCTCCAGTTTAGCCACCACACTCAGGCAGGAGTCTTGGAAAATGGGGACTCCTCAGCAGGTCTGAGGGGTTTGGGAACCCTGGTGGCTGGCAGACTCATCATAAGCTATCTAGAAGGCATTGGGCCTATATTACTAAAAATGTCTAGGGGAGAACAGTACTAGTCGTCAGCACAGATAGATGAGCTGCACCGTGGCTGTATCCCAGGACAGTGGGCGTAGCAATATTTCTTGGGTACAGCACGTTAACAGTACAAACTGCTGAAGACCCAGTACAGCTTGTTGCCATTTGTACTCTTAAAGAAGAGATTTTACTGAGGCCCCAGCCAGTGTACTTGAGAATTACAGAACAATTAACTAAAGCTCAGATAAAAGTACCCAGTGAATATTTTCAAAATAGGTATTGTAAAAACAGTGTAATTTTTCACCTAATCAACAATGCTATAAAGTTTAGCATATCAATTTTAAAATCAAAATAATATAAGAAACTACAACCAAGGAGAGACTACCATAGACAGTGTAATTTATAAGGTGTAATGAAGGAAAATTGGAAGAGGTGACCAACTCTACATTCTTTGTTCAGCCAGGCTACTCAGTGACCTTGAATGATAGATTTTTTTAGAAGAACAGATGCAAATAATGACTTGGAGGGGCCAGAAAAAGGATGTGAAATATTGAGGTATATAGGCACTATGCCACTCCTCTCCCAGGTGGGCTATTGTCGACATTCTCACTAGGAAAAAAAAAAATCAATCAATTAATTAATTAATTAGTGCTGATGTAACCAAAATTTATCATTGTGTTATAGTTGGGTGAAATTTCTCAAGGTAGGGGACATACTGGCTGAGAGCATGTAAATGACATTTGTGATGCCGAGTTGTATTTCCTCCATTGGGGACTGTCCTCCTTTATCTTGGCCCCCTCATAGCCAGCAAGGCAACAATTTTATTAAAAAAGCGTTGAATGTGGATGGTTACTTCAGGCAAGAAGGCAAATTTATAATTGAGTTCTGTTGCTATAAGAGAAGGTAGACATGATGTGACAGAACTGAACTGGCACCTGAAACTGAGCAAGTGAACACCTATGAGAGCATGGAGAATAGACCTTGAACAGTTTACAACACATCTTAAGTCAGAGCTGGAGAAAAGGGCTCTCAAAGTCCTTTAGACTCTCTGAATTGGAGTATTCTAGCAGTTATATTTTGATATGTTAACTTTTTTTTTTTTTTTTTAAGCAAACAAATTTTACCTCCAGGGAATGGGCTTTGGGTTTTAGAGTGTCCTAATGATTAGGGTTCTCATGCTTCTGACTCAGGAAGGGGCC